CCTCCCCCTCTCTCCCCTGCTTTTTTTTTTTCTGTTCTGGGCCTCATGCATGCTAGGTAAGTGCTCTACTTCTGAGCCATATCCCCACACTCCTAGAATATTTTCTTTTCTTTTCAACATGTCAACTTAGAACTGACTTCCTTTTTTTTTAAATTTTTAGTTGGACACAGTAACTTTATTTATTTTTTTATGTGGTACCTGAGGATACAACCCGGTGCCTCACACATGCTAGGCAAGTGCTCTATCTTTGAGCCACAACCCCAGCCCACCCCTAGAATATTTTCTTAAGTGGATAAAGCATGCTGCAGAATAGCAGGTTCTGCTGTTTTTGATCTAAGAAAGAGGAGAAAAATATCAAAATTTTTAAAAAATGGAAAGTAAGCTAAAAATAGACAAATTGGTAGCCTAGAAAAGGAGGAGGAAGGAGTTAGGAAGGATGGGTCTAGACTTCTCTGAAAGTCTTGCTTTCTAGATATAGTGGTAGAACTATATAAATATTTAATAGAACTATAGAAAACAGAATTACAATGTCATTTTGTCTCTCATTAATTATCCGTTCTAGCTCAGAGGTGGTGGCCTAGCTCGTACAAGACCCTGGGATCCATCCGCAGCACTGCGCACATGCAAAAAGGAATTATCCTCCCTCCTTTTTTTTTTTTTTTTTGTGTTAGGAATTGAACCCAGGGGTGCTCTACCACCGAGTTATACCCCCATTCCTTTTTATTTTTGGAGATAGGTTCTTGCTAAGTTACCCAGGCTGGCTTTGAACTTGTGATCCTCCTGACTTAGCCTCAAAAGTCACTGGGATTACAAGTGTGTTCACTATGCCCAGCTAATTATCTCTTTTAACAGCAGTGAAGAAACCTGTCTAGGTCACCACAAGGCAGAGAAGGTGCCAGACCTCATACCCCCTGGGTTCCAGGGGCTAAGATTTAATACTTCCCTGAGCTCCAATCAGCTGCTTTGGTCAAGATTCTCATAACCTGGGCTCAGTGGTAGAGCGCTTGCCCAGCAGGCGTGAGGCCCTGAGTTCCATCCCCAGTACTGCATTAAAAAAATGAAAAGAAAACAAACAAGATTCTCATAACTTTCTCCTGCTGCAGCCTGGAGGTGGATTTGTCCCCAAGCACATCATTAGGAGTGTGCCTCTAATAACTGCTTACCTGGCTGAGACTCTGTGCCACCAACACCTGCCAAGAGCACACTGTGCGAAAAAGGAATAACACGCCCACCTGCTCTCTACACCGGCAGAGGGCTTTTCTGCATGAGACCTCTTTTCAGCTTTGTGTGACGCAGACCTGGAAACGAATGGTGGAAGCCTGGGCTCTGGTTCTGTGAGGTCTGCCTTCGGTGCCTTGTACAGCTGGAGAGAAATGAGAGCTGGGGGTTCCTCTGACCCGGCGGGGTCCTGGCTGTGGGGTCCTGTGCAGAGTGTTTGTGGGGTAATTTCACATATAGGCTAAAGAACTGTTTTGGGCTCAGACAGACACAAAATTGAATCCCAGGAGTCCTACTTTCTGGCAATGTGCTCTTGAGCAAATTTGACACTTCCCCCTCTCTAAGACAGTGACAATGAAAGTACCTCCTGTAACAGGTAGCTTGAGGCTTAGTGCGGAGCTGGCGTAATCAGCAAGAGTAATCTTACAGGGCACAGCAGCTCCGAAAATCCGCTCCACCTACTGCCTCATGTGCAGAAGTTGAGTCTTCCCTGACCAGCTAACAAAGCCACCTCCTTACCCTCAAGCCATGTCCCCAGTAAGGATGAGCCTGCAGGATGCCTCCTTCCCACTGCTCCAGGGCCCAGGACGCTGGCTCAGCCCAGAGGAGGCTCCTCTCTCTGCTAACCCCCCTCCAGATCAATCTCTAATTCAGGGTCCTTTTGAGGACTAAAAATCCATCACCTTTGAAAAGTGCCAATACGGCTGAGGCTACTGTCAGGTGGGCCAGAAATGGAGTTCACTGTTTCCCTGGCTTTCAAGACTCTCCAGCTGAGCACTGCAGCTGGAACTCTCATGTGGGCAAGATCTCAGCGTGTGCAGGTTGCGCTGAGCTCACCCGCCGTCTGTCCACCCCACCTGCTGCTGGACCTTTTTCATCTACCTCTTTGTTTCTCTAAGGGACAGTGAGGTTGAGAAGATAAAGGGATCAGGATTTCACACACTGAAGAGCTTTTGTTTCTGTTTTTCATAGAAGTGAATACATTAAAATTTCCCTCTTGGCATCAGCCTATTGACTCCAAACACAGCTCTGAGATTAGACCTTTCTGATTTTAAGTTCTGTAAATTCAAAGGTTCCTGGGAAACCTGCAGGTTTTTCATTTTTATTTTTTTTTCCCCTCTGAAGTATAAGCTCCATGATGATAATAAAAAACTAATACAGCAATTCATTTAGTCCATCACTGGGTATTTATTGAGTACTTACTATGTTCTCAGCAGGATGCTAGGAGCTCAGAAGGCTCCTACCCCTGAGGGAAAAAGAGAAACTGCCATCTATTTAGATAACTACATACTAAGCTCTATGAGGCTCTTTAATAGCCTCAGTTCATTGAACTCTGGGCAACTCTAGGAAGTGGGTATTGTTATTCTATCGCAGGTGAGGAAAGAGACTCAGGAAGTTCCATAAGTCATAGGTCACTTGTGGTAATGGGAGACAGAATTCCAGTCTAGTCCTGTCTGACTACATCTGGATCCTTCCCACTGGACTACAGTAGGGGGCCCAGGTGTGGTGGGGCCCGCCTGTAATCCCAGCTAAGGCAGGAGGATTGCAAGTTCAAGGGCAGCCTTGGGAATTTAGCGAGAACCTGTCTCAAAATAAAAAGGGCTGGGGATGTAGCTCAGGGATAAAGCCGCCCTGGTTTAGCCCCAGTACTGAAAAAAAGAAAGAGAAACAATACAGCAGGGAGGAGAAAAGGACCCGGATGGATTAGCCAGTGGCTGGTGCAAGGCAGCAGAGTGCAGAGAATGCACTGCCTGTCTAGCACAGTGGGGTTGTGAAAGGAAGGTCTGCAGGAAGACTTCCTGCAAGGCAGCCTAAGGTCTTGAGCAGGAATGAATTTGGCCAGGACAGTGGTGGGCAGCATGCCCTGAGGTCAGCTGGTTTGGGTCTGGGGTTGAGAAGTGGGAAGCCCCATGGAGCTGTCTAGACTTTCTGAGCTGGCAGTGAGAAGCCCAAACGGAGTTTCACAGCCAGACAGGGACAAAATCAATGGCAAGCTGCTGTTGGCCAGCCTGTTTCCTGGGAGAGGGTGACACCCTTGGCTGGAAGAGGTGATGGGGCCTGAGTCTTCGGAGGGGTGGGAGGGATGACAGGGGAAGGGCTGGCATTAACAAGATGGAATCTTCAGACTTTGGAAAATGCTTGTGGGGAGGAGTCTGGGGAGCTGTCTTTCAGTCTCCCCTTGGGTCACAACACACCTCTGTTCACAACTGTTCAAGGTCTTCCTGTAGCCGTAAATTCAAGCCCAAATTTCTCATCCTATCATCATGAGGCACTTCACAATCTGGCCTCTATTTACTTTTTTGGGTTCATTGCCCCAGCTTTTCCAAACTTCTCTGTGTTCCACCCAACCTCCGGCACTTCCCCCATCAAGCTGGCCTCCACAAAGCTCATCAGCAGTAGGACCCTTCCAAACTTGGCCCTTGACATCCACTGGTAGCTCTTCCAAAAGAGCTTAAGGTTTCATTGCTATGGAACTTAGGCTGTTGGGTTCTCAGTGCTGTCCTGTCCTCCAGGATTGGTTCTTTTTACAATACATAATATACACAGTTATCCCAACTGGGGAAGTCATTTCATCTTTCGGACTTAGTTTCTTCCTCTGTCAAATGGAGCCAATAAACCTCATAGGCACAGTGCCTGCCTCCCCAGAGTCCATCCATGGCTGCTCCAATCCTATCCTCCAGGGTGGAGCAGTCTAAGCAGTCCAGCTCAGAGAAGGGAGAGGGCAGGGCACAAAGTAAAGGAGGGACCCCAGAGATCTCCCGTGGGATCCTTCAGAGGTCCTTCTATGTCAGAAAGTGCATGCACACAAGCCGCCCTTTAAAAGCCACAAGTAGATCTCTTCTTTAAGTCCAGGCCTCTTTGAGAGCAGCCCCCATTCCCTCCATCTTCCCCAAACTCTTCCAAAAAAGCCGCGCCCCTCATCTGGGGCTGGAACAAGTGCAGCACCTGCACCTGCACCTGCGCTGAGCCTGGGACTGTTCACCAAGCGGGTTTGGGGACCTGGGCTCCTGGAACGCCCTTCACGACCCGCAAGCTCCCTCTCATCACCTCCGCTCGGCAGAAGAGAACCAGAGGTTCTGGGAAGCGACGTGACTCGTCCGAAGCGACAGGCGCTGCAGGCCTGGGCCGCACCCTCCCGTCGAGGTCTGTGCTCCGCAGGAGCTGTGGGGGTGGGAGGGTCGGGGACGAGTCCTTCGGGAAGGGAGGGGAGGCGCGGGACCCCAGGAACCGCTGGGCCGGCGTCGGGAGCCCGGGAGCGCGCGCGGCGATGAGGGGTTGATGCACCCGGGCCGCGGCCGGCGACAGGGGCGCACCCCCCGGGTCCCTCGCGGCCGCTCAGGAGCCTACCCTCGGGCGCATCTCCGCGGGCGCGCGCGGCGGGCTCCGCCGACGGGTTCTCGGGTCCGCCGCGCGCGCCCCCGCGCTCCCTCCAGGCCCGCGCGCTCCCGGGGCCCGGCGCGCGCGCGCCGCTCCCCTCCCCGCCCCTCCCGTCGCCACCCCGCCCCCGGCCGGGTACCCTCGCCGGACCCGAGAGAGAGCAGCGCCGCCATCTTAGTTGCTGCCTCAGCCTCCAGCGGAGCGCTGCTCGGAGGAGGGAGGGCGCCCGCGGCCGAGCGCGCGGCCCAGCGTCACGGCGGCCGCGGCGGCGGCTCCTCCTCGGACCCCGGTGCTCGCCGCGCCGCGAGGCAGTCGGCCCCGGGCCGCGAGGGCCCCGCTCGGCGTCCCGCGCGCTTCCCTGCCGCTCCCGCCTCCGGCCGGCCGCGGCGCCGGGAGCCCGAGCGATGCTGCGCCGCCCTGCGCCCGCGCTGGCCCCGGCCGCCGGGCTGCTGCTGGCCGGGCTGCTGTGCGGCGGCGGGGTCTGGGCCGCGCGAGGTAAGCGGCGGGGCCGGGCCGGGCCGGGCGTTCGGTCTGGGTGCGGGAGTCGGGTCCGAGCTCCGGGAGCCGCGACGGGGCTCGGGCTCGGAGCCGAACGCAGGCGTCGGGCCGGCGCGGGCAGCAGGGTCGCGGCGGGGCAGGGGTGCTCGGGGGCGCACCGCGCGGGCCGGGCGCGGGAGGCCGGGGGCCGCGCTGCGGATGCCCCCGGGAAGCCAGGCTCGGGCCCGGGCGGGGCACCCCGGCCGCGGCCGCCCCCTGCGCAGCCCTGGGTGGTGGCTGCGCCTATTTGGGTAGACGGGCCGCAGGGTCCGGCCGCGCAGGCAGGCTGGGGACGCACCCCGGGGGGATGCGGTGTGCGTGTGAGTGCTCGAGTGGGCTCAGCCGGGGGTGCACGCACGGGGCTCGGTGTGTGCTTACATAAGAGCCCACTCACTCCTCCGCATCCCTTCCCCAGATCCCGAGTCCCTGCCGCTGCGCCGCGGACACCGCGACTTCGCCCCTTTGCGCCTTCTCCCCGAGTCCTGTAAACGTCTGGTCCAAACGAGCGGAGGCTGAAACTTCTCGCTCCCCTCCCTCCTTTTCACCCAAAGGTGATATCGTGATGAGGTTCGCGACCGCGGTCTCACCAGGTGTCACAAATGTGCATCTCCTGCGGGGTTTGTGACGGTAATGCCGATCGTGCACGGCTTAGGTGGCCTCGCCAGAAACGTTGGTTAGGATTTTAAGACCTAAATTATTTTATGGTTAGATGGCAAATAACATTTGTTGGCCAGTTGGTTGTTATTTCTTAACCTTACCTTCATCTACTTAACCTTTTAAACGTTACATGCTTTCTGATATTGACTGATCTTGCCAACCAGAAGCTTACGCATTGCAGATACAGGGCTTCCGAATGGATCTAGAAATCGTAAACATTTTCCTTGGCCTTGGAGCAAAGTAATCTAGGTGTTGTCCACAGAGACCTGAATTTATTCTTCTGATTTTTTTTTTTTTAAAAAGGAAAATTTGAGGGGGAAGATTATAAGAAGTCTAGATGAAATGGCCATATTCCAATTTAGCAAGCTTTAAAATAATTCTTGTTTTCTTCTCAGCTTGCCATACGGAAAGAAGTATGGTGTTCACTAATTAAAGGGCAGAAGAGGCGAATGCATCTTTTGTTCCAATGTTCCTTTCTTCACATGAACATGATAAACTTTGAATACTTTTATTTCATTTCTAACATTCTGTGGACTCTGTTAAATTTAGGTCTTAGTCTCCATGTATCTAATTGCCCTCGATTTGATTTTTAAAAGTTACATCAAGCTAAGTTTGAAATGTTCTTTCCAGATGTGAAATGGAGGTCTGAAAGAGGAATAAATCCAAGGGAAGAAAAAAAAAAAAAAAAAAGACTTTTGCTTCCTTCTCTTGGGAAATACGTACACATTTAAAAAATATGTGCTTGAATTGAGTATTTTGGGAAAAGTTCAAGTGTGTTTAGTCAGTGATAACATTTCTTGCCAAAAATCCATGTTTTTAAAGTTCACACACCTGCATTTGCTCTTTGTTACTTAATTACTTTGGTTAAACAGTTGGTGTAGACTTTAGCTCTTGATTATCTTTGTTATGGTGGACTGACAGAAGTCTTCTGGGGAAGATGTGCTGAGTGCTAGAATCATTTGTAATCTGCTAGTTTTCTCTGTGCTTTTTTTGCTGCAGTCGAACGACTTCTGGATTCCCAGTGTTCAGAATAAAAATTTTAAACATCAGTTATTCTGTTGCATTTGTTGTCTTTTTATCTTCCATGTTAGAAAATGTCTCATAAATATTACATGAAATGCTAATAAAACTATTTCATTTTGAAATGCTACAAATGAATTTTATACGTAAATATGCAATTTGTGGAGGCACTTTCTATGGGCTCATTTGAAAAGATCATCATTTCAGCTAATGTCTGATTTGCACCCCACCCTCCCCTGAGTGCTGGGGTTAGAACGCAGGCCCAGAGAATGCTAGGCAAGTACCCTACCACTTTGTTATACCTTCAGCCTAATATCTAATTTCTTTTTATTGCCACAAGACAGAATAGCATGAGCTGCTTGCTGTTCATACTCCAGCTATCTTGAATCATTAATGGATAAAGATCACATAAAACTTATGTAGGAAATGATAGATTTCTTTATATAAATTGCATGCGACTGTTAGATGCTTCATAGACAGTCCTCCCAAAATTTCACTTCAATTTTAGCAATAGTTTTCAAAAAACATCCAGTAAGCCAAAATATTAGAACTATGCTTGGTGTGCCCTGGATGGCCCTGTCAGCAGGCAGCCTGTCTTCCCTATAGTTATGGAGATCAGGAAGTTGAAATTAGTAGAGAAAATAGCTGTATGAATATATAAAAGTAAATGAAACTATGTAGTGTATTTCAAAGTCAAAAAAATAATATTCACCATTACTTTTCCAGTTTGCACAGACTTCTCTGTGAGACCTCTCCTCACCATCCTGTTTGGAACTTCATCTCCCTCCCAGAATCCCTGGATTGTTTCTTCTTGGCCTCCCTTTTTCATTTTTCCATAGCTCTTAATGCATTCTGACATGCCTTGTTATCTATTTTCTGTTTCCTCCCGGTACGATGTATATCCAGACATGGAAGAGGGTTTTGTTGGCCTGTGTCCTTTCACCGGCACACAGTAGGCATGAAGTATTTGTGGTATGATGGAATGAATGAATGGGTGACTGTATTTCTGTGTAGACAGCATAGTGTTTTTACATACCCATTTTCACTGGACAGATAAATGTTATGTATTGAAAAAAGTATTACATACTGTGAATGTTATACTGCAGAAAGTGTTACAAACATGCATAGGGGTTTAAAGTAGACTTAATTCTGCAACATGGTTAAGAGAATTCATCAGTAGGAATTTTTCAAGGATCCTTTCTGTTGATTGCAGTGTTGGGATATTGGACCATAAAAATCTGGCTGAGCCTTATGAAAGCTATTGCTACCATTTTGAGTATTTTTTTTAGTTGTAGATGGACATAATGTCTTTATTTTATTTATTTATGTATTTTTAGATGGACACAATATCTTTATTTTTTTGTGGTGGTGAAGATCAAATCCAGTGCCTTACATGCTAGGCAAGCGCTCTAGCCCCCACCTTGGGTCTATTTTTAAAAGTACCATATTTCTTTTCTTTTTTAAACAACAACAAGAATATGACTTATAAACCTCTAAACTTATCTAAAGCTCGTATGAAGTTAATTTCCTTTCCTTTCTTAGAAGCAACATTGGGAAAAAAAGCCATTTGAATATAGAGTTCAGTATTACCCTTAGTCTAATGCTTTTATTTTGTTTTCTTTTTTCCTGACATTTTAAATGCTGAAGGTCAGTAACATCTCAATGGGGAACCTATAACTGCTGAAGAAATAATAAAATATTACTGATTCTGAAGGTATTCCTCTCTGAGCTTCAGCTTGATTAACTGGAATATTTAGTTAGCTGAAATTCATCTTATATTTCTAGGAGAAAAAGCATAAAATCAAATAGTTTTATGGGGATTCTTTTTCAAAAGAAAGGCTTAGGAGCTCAGGTCATGTATTATTTGTGCTGGTATTGTTTGATTTTCTTTCCTTTTTCTTCCCCCTTCTCTTGGTGGTGTGGGCCCCAGGGCCTCACTGGCTCTCCCGCTGAGCTACATCCCCAGCTCCTGCATTGTTTGATTTGTAAGCTGAAAAGAGCAACTAGTATTCCAGTTTCGGATTTGAAGAATATGACCAAAATGAAATTTTAATAAAATACAACATTATTTTTACATTGAAATTAGAAAATGCTATAATTAAAAAAAAAACAAACTATAATTTCATAGCACTAATTTCGGGACTTGGTTAAGCTTATGAAACCACATATGAATGTTTAAAACGAGAAACCAGAGTTATATTAAAATTTTAGAGCATTTAAAATGATTTGGAGTATTTATATTATTGCTTTCTAGGACAGGAAAATGGTAATTTTTTTAGATCTTTGTTCATAAATGTTGAAGCAACATTGAAGATCTGATTATCTGAACACTACCACAAGCATCTTTCCTGTATTCTGGTTGAGGGATCAGATCTTTGTAGCTTGGTTTTTCTCTGGTGTTGATTTGTCAGAAGAGTTGCACAAAAAAATACTGTGTCTTTATAAATGAAAATTTAAATGTTAATTTGCTATGAAATATTTTAATAGAGCATCAGAAAATACCAACTCAAGACTAGTGGAAATGATTTATGCAAAGTCATATTCTTATTGTTTAAAAAAGCAAAAAGCCTTCACAAGTGTCTTTTGACACCAGCAGAGGCTATCCAGAGGCCAGATAGGAACACCAGACTGTGACAACCCTTCCTTGTGCCCAACTCTATATAGCTGCCACCATATCAGGATTGGAGTGCTGCTTTCTGTTGTCCCGGATTTGATAGGTCTTTTCTCCCTTATGTGTTAGACATATTTTTGCTAATTTTCTTTTTTAGCCTTAGGGAGATATTATTAGATTAAAAATTCACAAGATCCGTTGCTAAGTCTTTTTTATTTTTAAAGGTTCTCGGCAAAGATTCAATTACTTCAAAATAACTGAATTCAGATCATCTTATAAACTTCTAAAGCACGTATGAAGTTAATTTCCTTCCTTTCCAGAGCCCATAAGAATTGCGTGGTAGGGCTTGGGCTGTGGCTCAGCGGTAGCGCACTTGCCTGGTATGTGTGAGGCACTGGGTGCTATTCTCAGCACCAAAAAATAAACAAAATAAAGGTTTATCAACAACTAAAAAAGAAAAAAAAATTAAGAGTTGTGGTAGCACACCGAAGGAAGATCCGTGTTTTCCTTTTTGGTCAGATGTGAATATTATGTTTCAGTCACCTGTTTTTGGACCACTCTAATGCTCTTTTGACAAGAACTCCATATTGAATTTGTTATTTTTCAAGTCTGCCTTGATCTGTACTTTAACTTGTTGTTTTGAACAAAAAAATCTTTTCCTACATCCACT